AAGGACATGGAAAACTAGACCTTTTGCATGCTTATAAAGTATTGTCTAGCTACATACCACAAGTCAGTTTCAGCCCTAGGTAGATGAATAGATTTTTAATAATTRCGATTTCTATTTAAAAAATAAAAAATAATAATATATATACTTAAGTAAGATAGAATTATAGGAAGCAACAAAATATTAATTTCTCAAAATAACAATAATATGAGAAAAATTATGATAAAGTATAAAAAGTTTATCAAGAATTAAGATATTATTTTTTGCAAGACAATTAGTTAAGTCTTGAATTTTGATGCTAAACTGCTAAATGACACATTCTGATAAATGTTAAATGTGTTGTGCTCAAAAAATAAGTACCCAATATTTAATTCCCGTCCAATTTATATTATAAGTATCTAAATCCCTTAAATTTTATTTTGACATTTATTAAATAACAATTATTTAAAACAATCAGGTACATAATTTACTATTAAAGATTATGTTACCCAATTTAATTTTCAATAAAGAAACTTGATCTGAAATAAAGACTTCAATTTTTATTTATTCTAACTTAGTAAGTTTAATTTTTATGGTACAACAAAATATATTCTGTGACTTTTAAGTCATTGAAATAATCAAAAAATTGAAGTTTTTATATGTCCTTAAAGTTGGGCAGGCCTGTAGTAAGTTAAGTGTATTAAAATACTAATGGAAAGTAATTATTAACTATTATATTCAAATAATGAATTATCAATTAGATAAGCTCAATGTGGGAAGAAATATTATGCTAAATATAATTTATAAATCCCATTAGATTACTTATTTCATAATAGTTAATAGTCTTAATATATATAACAATTTGATAACATTTAGGATCAATAGGTTTTCTTGGAAAATAAAAGATTATATTATAACTTAATTTAAGAGGACGACATCTATCTTTGTCCTACTAATGCATAACATAGAAAATTGAAAGTAGTGATTAATTAATTTAATCGCCATATTTAATGTTAGTGAATTGATTTTTTTTCCAAATTTAAAATCAAGAATATTATCTAGATTTTTTATTCTTTCAATTTAAAATGAGTTATGATATTTTAAAGATTGCTTATTTATTTTCAAGTATTCTGAAATGTATTGTTAAAGATGATTGATCATTAATATTAAAAAGTCTTCAGGTGGTTAAAAAAAATTAAATGCTCATTGTTCACTTTAATATTGAAAAAAATAAAATTATATTCACTAAATCATATTCTTCTAATTCACTAATATTAAACATAACATAAAAATTGGATTATTCAGAAAGTATAGTTTACTAAGAATCCTCTTAAAAGATACTGCAAAATACACATTTTAACATTCTCTTTCTAGAAATGCTACCGGTTGATTTAATTTAGTTCWTAAAATTACTAATTTTTAATTAAGATTATGATTAGTAAAAAGGCAAATTAAATAAATATATAAATTATAAATCAGATAAATTAAAGGATAATATGATAACCTAATAGCCAAATACATAGGTGGGTGTAGGGTGCTTAGTACAACTCRGGGAAAGTAGGTTAACATTTTTTTGAAATAAATTATACATTTAAATATGCAAACAAGTTACATAATCATAATCAAACTGATTATCTAAATACATCTAAGTACGTTTTCATGAATATAATTTATTATACTACTTAAAATTATTTATACAATAATAGTTGATAGTAATAAAACATATTTCAATAATACCAACAATTTTTAATATTTGTTYGACTCTAAATTAGTTTATCTAAGAGAATCAAATTTATAGATAATTCTAAAATAATAACAGCCCAATGTACAAAAATATTAACTAAATTATTATTTTTGATAATGAATTGGGAGTCCAACCTTATGTTRATTTATAAATATTTTATAATTCATATATATTATATATAGTTACATAGATTTGACAGAATGTCAATACATGTGGCCCTACTGCACTCAACCATTATATTATACTGGTATACCGATAATTGTCAATGTCACTGTACTCAATGGTTTGGCAGTATTTGGAAAAGTGGTTGATGTTCCTGTTTGGTATCCATATTCCCACGACAATGGACAATACTTAGATGTGAATATACGTTATTCTCAGACTCTATGGCCTTGGTCAGGTTGGATGGCTATTGCACTATCTGTGTCACAAACTATACCTAAAGATTGGAGTGGAACTGTTGCTGGCCACATTGAACTCACAATCGAATCAGCAAATACAAATTACACAGTTAATTTGCCATTGCGTGCTGCTATTATACCTCCTCCACCAAGAATAAGAAGAATCCTGTGGGATCAGTATCATAACTTAAGATACCCACCAGGATATTTTCCAAGAGATAATTTGAATGTAAAAAATGACCCATTAGACTGGAACGCAGATCACATACATACAAATTTTAAGGTTACTACTTTATACAATGCAAAATATTGTAAACATTTATTATTATTATTTTATTTATTATTTATTAATTTATTTAGGGGTTATACCAACATTTACGTAGTTCTGGTTATTATGTTGAAGTACTAGGTGAACCATATACATGCTTTAATGCTAGTAACTATGGAGCGTTATTAGTCATAGATCCTGAAGAAGAATTTTTCTCTGAAGAAATAGTAAAAATTGAGACTGACATTGCAAATTACAATTTATCAGTTATTATTTTTGCAGACTGGTATAATGTTTCGGTGATGAAAAAAGTACATTATTATTCTATTAATAAATATTGTACTTAGTTATATTTTTAATTTTAATTTTAAGATAAAATTTTTTGATGAAAATACCAAGCAATGGTGGATGCCAGTAACTGGTGGCTCAAATATACCAGCTTTAAATGACCTGTTGGCRCCCTATGGCATATCTCTAGGATCTAATGTTTATTATGGAGAATATGAAATGGGAGATAGAAAAGTACATTATTCTTCAGGTACTCATATAACATCTTTTCCAAATGAAGGAATTGTTGTTGCTAAAACTTTAAAAAATCAAGGTAATTAAAATAATTAATATGATAAATAATTAAATTATCTTCATACTATACCATTATTAATCAAATTATATAATATAGGTGAAGAAATTTTAGGAGGTGATAAAAGTGGACGAGAGGTTGATGTACCAATTTTAGGCTTATTTAAATCCTCAGGATATATTGTTCTTTATGGTGATTCTAATTGTTTAGACAATAATCATATTGAAATTGGTAATAATTTAATGMATTTTTTAAAAATCCAATATTTTTACTCTCATTATTTTAATAGACTGTTATTGGATGTTGGACGCTATCATGGAATATATATCTACTGGTAAACTACCACATGTTTTTCTTGAAGACAATGTAAAAATCAGTAACAACCATACTACACATAATTTAACTGAACGTCTTGAACACAATGAATTACACAAGTTAGCTTTTACTATCATTTATATTTTAATAAATATCCTTGGACTATATATTTTTAAAATATTAACTCATTGCAGATATTCTAAAGTGATTCAGAAAAGAGATTCTGGTATTGTACAACTACCTATCCCATCATGTGTTACAAATGATTTGGCTAAAACAGTCGTTCTTAATATTTCAGCAAACAGGTTATTATCAACAATTATTTATGTAACAATCAATTAAATGTTGTTATTGAATTTATTAATTAATTTAGTGATAATTACAAGCCACAAAAGTTGAAAACTGACCCCTCTTACAAAGATGAAAATGAGTATATATGGTTGCAATCTCTAGAAGCCAGTTCAAAAGTTTCAAATGAGACATTAGCAATTGAAGGATTCTTCACGGGATTTTTTTTACCTTTGACAACATTTGCCGTTGTATTATCTGTTGTAGCTATTTTTATTTTATGGCGATATTATTGTTGGAGAACAAAAGCTAAACAGGGTCTTATAGCCCTTGGTAAAAAAAAAACTGTTGGAGGAATCAAAAAGAGTTTTATGTATATGCTCAACCACAACAGTAGAATTCAATCAGCTAGAGGATATAATTTGTGATCTTAGCTTTGGTTTTACCCTACAGTACAATGTTTTGGTATCAAATATCATCGAACAAATATGTTTATATTTATAAAATTAAAATAATGTATTTTTGTTATTTTATATATTTAATTCTTTATTTTTTTATGAAACCTAAATTAAACTTATTATTGTTAGTATGTGTGACTGAAAATTAATAATATCATTGAATTTTTGAGTATATATTATACTCAAATAAAATAGGCGGAATCACTACAAAAATTGCATCCTATTGACAAATTATCTAGCTCACAAACAAAAGTTTTATTTTTGATGGTAAATAAATAAGGTTTTTATTTTGTTTTTGCCTTTACTCTCTTTGTATTAGAATATGTATATAATAATTAAAAATATAATATATACATCATATAATTAACTTCCCTCTAAAAATGCCCTTAATATCTAAATTGGCCATCTAATTGATTAGTATTTGTATACTTTTCTCACAGAGTATTCACTATCTTGGTCTTCATCTGGACTGAAGGCTTATCTRAGCMCAACATGCCCATATCAAGCGTATTACTCTCAACAACCGATCCTCCCATCTGTGATTCCTCCTAACTTCCAAACACATAAATCTAAACATTCTATACAATAAAATCTTCCTTTATAAACTCCTYTTGAAACCAGTATGGACATGACATATAACTCTGGGGCTCAGTTAAATCTTGAAATATAAAAAAATCCAAACTTCTYGTTGAATCACAAAAGTTTCTTTTTATGTATCATTGTAAAGAGTTGTATCGCATTCATTCACAGTAAAGTCCACACAATAGTACAAATACTACAAATACTAAATAGTACAAATGTATAATACTGATTACTTTGATAGCACACTGCACAGAGCCACAGAATAATAATATAATAATCTTAGATCATATCATAGAGTAATTACTCTATGGATCATATACGATATACATATACATAATATGATCYAAGATAATAATAGTGATAACACGATCCTCGGAGCCCCCTTGCCTCGTATCGACGGTTGTTGTTTTTCTTTTCTTTTCCTTTTTTTTTATTAATAGTCTAATAGAGTTATCAGTTAAGACAACAAAATATAAAGATGAACAAAGTACAAACTTTCAGTACCTAAACTTTGACAATGATCTCTTATAATATAGTAATATGGCATAATAATTACGGTTTATGTCGTTTATGATGGTTAATAATTACAAAAACCGAAATACCAATCATTGGGTATGTTGTTAAGTTTAATAGTTTTCGAATTTAATTTTAAAACGAGTTCTCTGTGTGGTAAGTGTTTACTATTTACGATCCTTTTTCTATTACGTGAACTGCCTTTTTCTTAGTTTATGCTGTTCAATAACCCCTAATTAACCATGGAATAAGATTTAAGATATATACTATTATAGTATATCTTAGTCTGTTGTATTAATCAATTAGATTATCATCCTTATGTATTCCCACCCTCTTATTTCACATTTGGAAATGCAATCATCTATAATAAACTTCTGTRAAATCAATCCATTTCTAAAGTCTTCTTCTGATGATAAACAACGCTTAGAGATTTRTGTAATATGATATTCATGACACCTGTGTCGTGTGAATAACAATAGTAARAAACATTATTTATTTTTTTAAGGTACTCAACACAAAATATGCTGGGATGATAAGCTTAATCAAATACTGTAGTTTCTAATTTAGAATCTAATCTACAGTATTTGGCTTAGTTAATGAAGTTTAAAGATTATCAATGTAATTTAACTGTTAACTGTCAAATAGCTGACATGTCTTTTTTGCCAGAGGTAACTTCAATTGTGATGTACATAGTACACGTTTATTATCCACTAGTTATGGCAATATATTTTTAATTTTTCAGAAAGAACCTTTAAAGTTTGATATAAATCTTTGTGGAGCTCCCGAAGAGATTGTTCACTTAGTGGATAATATTAAAAAAGTATAGTTGAATTATGAAAAAAAAAAAAAATAAATAAACATATCTTGATTTAAATAACATTTATAATAATTAATAACATTTTTAGGTGGGGGAACAATTTTTATATCATTGGAAAACATTTCCAATTATTTTACCACCAACAGCAATTACAACAAAATGTCCAATAAATGGAAATGATTCAACATATGGGCCAGGTGAATACTACTATTATAATTATCACTTTATAAATTGTAAATATTTATTTACTCTTGGATTAGGTGCAGATTCAAACTGTACTTTGGCTCGGCGAACCATGACATCTATTCGTTCAATCAATTGTCGAGACTTATTTATACCACCRTCTTTTGATGAATTGGATGCAGTGGCTGTAAATACCAAAGGTGAACCTAGGCATCTAAACTCCAAACAACTAGAATCTTTGCGCGAACGTGGGTGAGTTCAAATAAAATATATAATATATTAAATAGTTTAAACATGGATCTTCAAATTCTGTTATTATTAAGTCTGGACAAGGATATACATGGAAAGCCAAAGAAGCTGAATTCAAAACAATTGGATACTATACGTAAACTAGGGTATGTCAAGGGTTTGACAAAAATTTAGGTTGTTGGTTATTGTTTGGTTTTTGGCTTGTGCATCAATTTTAGTTCAGCAGTTATACTTTGTTTTTAATTATTTAAAACTTATCAATTGACAATAATTRTTTTGAATTTTAAGGGAATTTGAAGTGGCTAGTATTAATTTTGTTGGTCAAACACATAAATGGAGATTAACAGAATGGTTACAAAAAGGAACAGAAAGAAATCGGGAAACACTACTAGATGATTTAGCATTTGCTTTACAATTTCTGTTAGTGACTGCAAGAGCTAGGTTGTTTTCACATTTTTTTAGCATTGCAGAATCTTTAAAGGCTATACTGACGGGTGTGATTAAATTAATTGGTAAGAATAAACTTAAATTTAACACATGAATTCTTTTAAATACTGATTTTATGTCTTTAGATATAATATTTGGAGTACCTTCTTTACAAGCACATAATTTACCAGAAAAAATTAGAGAAGAACGATGTCGTTATTTGGTTGCTGAATTAATTTGTCGAGTATGTTAATCTACATGGAAAAATGTAATTAATAATAAATACTCTTCTAATCTTAAACATTACAGCCAGAATTAGAGCATGCCTTGGAACATTTAATAAGTTTTGTTCGGAAACAGTTACGAAGAGCCGCTACTGAAAAATTTGAACCATCAAAAGAAGCAATGTGTCCTCAGATTCCTATTCCTTATCAATTTTTGACTCCAAAAGTATGGTGTAATATTAACTTGTTTTTTATTTCAAATTTAAAGTAAACAAATTATTTTACAGCGTGAAGAAATTGATTTGAGGCTTTTTGATAGAGATATAATGAAAAAAGCATTACCTGTGATAATGGGGTTGTTAGAACGTGAAACACGAGGTTGGTTTCTACATTTTAGAGAAAAACTTATTTATGAATTAAAAACACAAAAGTTATCTGATGAAGAGATTGAAAAAGTAAGACATTGATGAAAAGTAATAAGTATTGTATTAATTTATTTTATTTTAGTCAGTTAATGAAGCTGTAATGAAAGAGTACTTGCAACGCGTTTACAAAAGTATACTGAATAATGTAGAACTGCAGATGTTAGGTGATGGAATTCCTAAACTTTTGATCAACCAAGCACAATGCATTGTTCTTATGCATCGGTAAAATCTTTCTAAATATAAGGACATTCATAAATATTAATCTAAAATATTTTGATAGAGCTGTTGAAAATGTTCAAAAGAAAATAATTAAACAAAAAAATACATTATCTCAAAGAATGCAATATACTTATCCTGTTTTATCACGTATTGGACCATGGATGAGAGATAAGCAAACCATTGCTGAGGTTGGAAAGTCATAACTTCCTTAATATATTAATTTATTGTAAAATTAAATGTATTTGTTGTAGGAAAAATTTATTCAAGAATGTCAATGGAGTGCTCACGAAGAAGCATTAACTCTTTGTAAAGAATACAAATTACATCAAGCTGTCTATTTTTTACAAAGGGATTTAGTTTTTATGAGAGAAGTACACACAATTTTAATAATTWAAAATTTTTTTTACCTTATTTTAATTTCCATTTAATCATAAAATGTCATCATGGGTTTGAAGAATACTACTCTGCATATTCTAAACTCTTTTTAAAATTGTTGTATCTGAAATTTTTTATGATGAGACATTGTTTTATAACTGATAGCTAAGAGCATTTAAAAATTACTGCTAATTTTATGTGATACTAAAGCAAAAATGTAGAATAGKTATTAGTTATAAGCAAAGCTCGTTAGTTCATGCATTTGCATGTTTTTCTTGCAACACCTAACTGAGATACACATCTGTTTCATAACAATACCTTGTAATACAAATATAAAGTTTAATAGTGCATTTTTTTTTGCATATTTTGGCTGTTAAAGCATATTTGGCTTATAGTTTATTTTTCACAGTTATTAGCACATATTAACTCATAAAATGAAATAATTAAGCAAATTAATATTTGAAGTCTTTTTTTTTCTCATTTACTATCCATTTTTCAAAATTATAGTATTGGTTTTTATTTATTTTTATTCTTGTACAACTATATTGGTTTTATGCGTCCACATATTATGCTATGTCATTCAATAAAATTAGTATTATAATACTACTATAGGAAACTAAATATGGATTTAAACAGTCTATAAGAGATGAAGTGTAGCACCAATTTATTATTTTTTTTTTTATCAACTAATATTTTATTATATTTTATTTATTTAGAGGGAACCTGTTTTGTCAAAAGAACTTAAAGCTGTTAAAATTCCAACTAGAACTTTTCATTGGTTAACACAAATTTGGCTTCCAAAAAATTGGATTGTACGAAGATCGTTCCAAGGTCAATCAGAAACTATACCAACTGTATTAAGTACAACAGCAACAGCTATAACAACACCTAGGTCTAATCCCAGCCAAGTATATATAATGATTGACGAGCTTAACATTGATCATATTGCTATGATTTTCATTATAATTTATGTAATGTTTAGGCTGTATTTTTGGTGGAAAAAGAAATAACCCATACTACCACAACTAGATGGCCATTTTGGAGAATTATTAACTTCCTATATCGAACTTGGACATGGACATGGAATGCCATGTTTTTCTTTGGTGTAAGTAATTTAATATTTAATGTTTTGTTCTTAATCATTTAATTTGTAATTTATATTGTTTTGTTAATTTTAATTTTATAAATAGGTGGTGATACCGTGGTGCAGTCCTGTAAGTGTACGTTCTTTGTTTTATTCAGAATCTTTTTATCCAGATTTAGAATTATCCCAAGTGAATGGCACATTATTTCCTAGAAAATCCTCACTTACTTCAACGCTCCTATCTAGATTAAATTTACTTTGGCGGCACATATCAAAGAGTCGAACTCATTTTGAAACAAAACCTGATACAGGTAATTTTAATTAAATATTGACTAATAATGAATTTAGCTCATTTTATTTATTCTTCAATCATTTATCCCTATTAAGTTTTTCAATTATCACAATTTGCTTCTTAAATGTAATTCCTCCACTTTCTTTTTCAATGCCTTATTCATTTGTTTTAGTTTAAACTTCTTTCCTGGCTCTTTTTCTTTAATATTATTTATTTATCTTCTATTCATTTTTTCCCATTTTATTTGTTGTCAATTTATTCCAATTAAAAAATTCTTTGATTTGATTAATTATTATCAAAATGTTTACATAAAATTGTTAATCTATATTCCCCTCAAAACTAAAACTAAAATTATGAATATTAATTATTTTTATTTCTAGGATTTATTGGCAAAGGAATGACAAGACATTTAAATCGAACATGGAACTATGTTATCAAAGGAATATTGGGCACTTTAGCTATGTTAATTATATTTCCCATTATATGTCTTTCTGCAAGTTTTGGAAGTCTGGTGGTGGCTTTAACTGGTCCATTATGGTGATTATCTTATAATTTAATTTCAAAATGTTAAAAATTATAATATAATAATGTATTTACAGGATGCCTTTAGTAACATTTTTATTACATGCGTTCAATGGTTTAATTTATGATTTGGACTCGCCAGCTGAATGGAAAAATAGATATTTTGTTGTAATTGAAGCCGTTGTTTGGAATATGATTTTTCAAGGAATTTTACAACCATTGATTGCGTGTTTAATTGCTTTTATATTATGTCCAATAATAACAGTAATTTTATTCATCGGTAATTTTAGTAACTAATATATTATTTAAATTGTTTACAATCATTTTATTTCAAATATTTTGAATTTATTTTCAATTTATAGTTGCTCTGCTGAGATATTGGTTTCGTTTAGTATGGGATAGTATTATATACCATTTAGTAATAAAAAAACGTGGACGAATACCAGCATGTGATAGTTTCATTGTTAAACGTGTGGCTGGTCCTGGTATGGCATCGGATTATTACTTTCAAATTCGTCCTGAACAAGCTTTGGCTGCTTTAGAGGCTAAAATGGAGTTGGATGAACTTAATGCATATCAAAATCTTATGGAGCAAAAAATTCTACAACCACAAAAAGATTTTGCACGCTTTGTTGATGTATGTTTTGGACCATTTAGTGCACATCTAGCCAAAAATGGAACTTATCGAATACTGGAGAAAGAAGCACAAGATTTGATGACAGCACTTCAAGATAAATTGGAAAGAAGATTACGAGAACTTCAATCTGGTTTATCAACAACTCTAAAATCGAAAATTAGATTGACTTCAAAAGATCTTAAAGTAAAATTTATATTATAATTTAATTACTTAAATATGTTTATAATAATTTTAATCATGAAATTATATTTAGGTTACTGTTGCTTTAGCATCAAAAATGTTGGAATATTGGTATCCACAACATGTTATACAAAAGTTGTCTATTAGTGAAGAAGAATTTTGGGAATCTAAAGGACTTTCAATAAATGATTGGTCTGCTCTTGCTGTTGTATTTCTGACAGATATATTCAGTTTAGATTTTCTTACACCATTAGATGATACAGATACTAAGTTTAAATTAGAGGTAAAAAATACTAAAAATAAATATATTCAAATTCCTAACATTATTTTATCCTTAGRCTGAACCAAGTGTAGATTTATCGCGATTTTATAATGCTGTTCAAAGTATTAATATTGATGGCCAGTGCTCAGAAATGTTGGGTCCATTATATTCGTCACGTGGAAATATCCAAATACAATCACCATACTTAGAAATTTCAGCTTTTAATCCTCGCTCAAAATTATTACACTGCAAATTCAAAAAAATAGATAGTGCTTGGTATATACTTTATACTATTAATGTATTCACAAAGTATTTAATTATTCAATTGATTTTTGTTCTAGCAATAGTATTACGTACACAATGTTATTAGGCGGTCGTTTTAAAACTGGTACACGCAGACACAAAGCATACATGAGAACAAATTCTATCCCATCTCAACGTAACAAATCTCGGCCGTGGAAACGGACACAACAGTCATACATGGCAGATAAAATGTGCATACCGTTACCTGTTCCTCATCCAGCCCATATAGCTTTAATAATATATAACCGGGATTCTGAATCTCCAATTCCTTTAGAATCTGAAAATTGCATTGGAATTTTAAGGTCTGTAATACTTTCTAAAATTATAAACTGAAAATCATGTTTGTTTTGTTTTAAATGTTTAGGGCCTTAGAAGATCGAACATCTAATCCTACTTCAACTGATTATATTCCGGCTAGTAGTTTTGATAGTGCAGATTCTCGTAGTTCACTGACGTCAGAAAGTGTAGAACCAGAAGAGCAAAATGTTAATGTATATAACTGGCAACGTGATGATTGGATGCTGCGAACACGTCAGACTGGAGCTGTAAGGGTAGAACTGGCATCACCTGAAGACATAAGTCTTGATTCTGAGTCTACAAGAGTCGTATTTGGTACCTTAGGAACAACTGTATGACTGWGTTAGTTTGTACATTWATGAATTGATTCCATGACAAATAAAGAACAATAAAAATAAGTACTTCTATTATTTTAAAATAAACACCAAATAGTTTATSATATTGATAAAACAAAAATAATATTATGTTATTATTTATTAGTATTATCTACTTGTTTTACATTTATATTTAATTATAAGAGAAAAATCACAATATTCAAATGATTATTAATACTAATAACATGTACATAGATGTATAATCAACAAATAATTTATCTTGTTTATTATAAATCTCCTCGCATTTTTTTAAATACATTTAGTTTATTAAAGTATAATATTTACTTCTAAATAATTATCTAGTCATTGTAAACTGTGTTTCAATATTAAGTTTTCCTTAATATCAATATTTTTTCTCATTGGTGAAACTCTTAAAACTAATTAAATATGAATACATAAATCTTTATCTTTTTTTATGTTATACTTAATTTTATTGTCTTCAGTTTTCTTTTTTCTTTGTATTTGTGCCAAAGATGTGTTTTCTTGGCTTAAATCAATTAATGATATACTATATACTATATAATAYGTATGCTTATTGTAATTGACTTAAATTTATGTATATTATTTTTTATTTTTTTATTATTTTACATTGATATAGTTTATTTTTTTTTTCAAATATTTATATTATTAATGTAATGTTATCTTGTAACATAATATTTATGTTTTATAGATTATTAATTTTTGTTTATGCTTAATTTTTTTATCACATTTTATCATGAATATCTTAAAATATTTGTGACCCGAGTTATTACAATTTGGTTGTGGTTAAATATATTAAATTCGGCAAATGTCTTATAACTTGTAATACTAAAATAATGATTCAAAGATAATATATTCAACAAACATTAAACATTAGAAACATTATTAATAATTTAATTTTTAACTCTATTTTTAGAATTCTGCTTGTTAATAACATCCTCTGTATAAATCTCTTATGCACATGTGTATTTTTGTTTTTGTGGAAAAATATTATACAAATTCAATATAAACAAAAATTATTTTGAAAAAATGATAATGTTTTTATCAATTGTATTTCWAGCATGTAATTTATTGTTATTTTTTTATTTATTCTTTATCCATATTAATACAACAATAATTCATTATTACAAAAATTTATTTGACAAGTGTTTCAAAGTTACMAGCCAATTAAAAGCATAAATCACTGAAAAAATAAATAAATTTATTACCATCACATTGATACATTAGATATATTGAGATAATTATTTTTTATACTTAAGGAAATATTCAAAATATTGATACCAATTTTAAATCATTGGCATTTAAAATTTAAAAATCTTTTATCTTATGATAGAATTAATAAAAATTATACTTAAATAATAAAAAAGCAAGATAGGTAATTTAATACAATATCACACATAAATCATAAGTATGTTGTCTTAAAGATATTAAGGAATTTCAAAATTACATTGGCAATTTTTTTTTTATTACTGACAACTGTAATAAGTTTATATATTGWCAAAATTATCAAATTAGTTTATTTATTCATAACCGGAATTTTCCAACCTAAAGAAAATTATTTATTGACTATTTCTTCTGCTGCCATAGATGCCCTCAGCAATATTTCYATGTAGGATGGGGGTGGGGCAAGTTTGTTCATAAATGATAATAATACATAAATTATAAAACCAATTACTAACTCGGTTTAACTGGTTTTTTCATAATGGTTGCCGTTTTTTTTTCAATTTTTTATWTCGTAATTATTAATAACTTAATACTTACCTAATCAATTAAAAAAAAAATGTCCATAGAGCAGGGAGAAAATGCTGTGCCAGCTAACGGCCCACTCTCCGAAAGCTTATGGGTCTGTCGATTACTGAGTGCTGACAAGTATACAGAGTGTACAAATTGCACATTTGGTTCGAATCCAAGAGGGCGCCAAATGCCCAGGCCGTTCCGCAAGACCTACTACAAGATATTATTGGTAGGTGCCATTAAATATTTAAATGTATATAGTATTGTATTTGTGTCGATACAAAATTATAAATCCCCTCATACACACACACACAGATCTTTGCTATGGATCCATAACTGTATATACGATCTTCTATTGTACCTACCTATGTCATTGCAGGCTTATTCCGAGGCAGAAGCGTCATTTTT